CCGCGACGCGTCACGATACATCCCGCGTATCGGGAAGAACAAACGCAGTTACGGTCGCCAGAAACAAGATCGGAACAGGGTCCCTCGGAGGGACGCCCTTCATTTACGGATTCTACGGCCGCGACTACCGCGTATAATACCATGCGTAAGTGGGACTTGAAATTCTCGGGAACTCGCGGAGAGGATGTAGAAGAATTCATCGCTCGCGTAGAGGAAGGAAGAGGGATTATTCCCGTCCCATTATTCCCAGATTTACGTTGTATGCCACTCTTCCTATCCGGGGTCGCACTATTATGGTTCCGCGATGAGCGAGAGTATTTTCAAGACTGGTCAGATTTTGTAACGGAAGCTCGCGCTCGGTTTAGCGACGCAGACTTTCAGGTCGCATTACGAGAAGAGATCGTGAAGCGAACTCAAGGGAAAAATGAACCCGTTGCCGACTACCTTACGTGTATTCGCGCCATGTTCCGGAGGCTAGATCCCCCATGGTCGGACCAGGAGCAAGTATCTTATGCCCACCGAAATCTCCTACCCCGATATCAACTCGCGATCTCACCACGCGACACGGAAAACATGAGGACCCTTACGAGTGTCGCTAAATGCGTCGAACGCACGTTCTCATTGTCCCGACAGTATCGCGCACCGCCGTCGCCGGATCAGTCGCTTTTGCCGGCACTAGCGTATCGGGATACTAGTTCACGTAGGAGAGGCAACACAGCGGCCTTGGATCTCACGAGCTCGAGAATCAATCTAGTCTCAGATGAAGAATCGAACGCGTCACGAAACGCAACTAAGCAAACGAATGCAGACACACCCCGGAACAACGTCTCGAGTACCGATCGCGTTAAAAGGAAAGCCACGACGACACCGCGCGACAATAGAAGGAGGAGCGGAAAGAACGTGCGAAGGTCCGCAGCTTCCGAGCAAAAGCCACGTCGACACCGCGCGACAATAAAAGGAGGAGCGGAAAGAACGTGCGAAGGTCCGCAGCTTCCGAGCAAGCTATGGCTACGGTCGAGGCCGACGCGAATCGGGATAACGCAGGGGAATCCAACTTTAAATTAGCCTGTTGGAATTGCGGTAAGACAGGGCACAGATATAATGCGTGCAAGGAACCGCGGAAAAGATTCTGTTATCGTTGCGGTAAAGATGGAGTTACATACCATACATGCCCTAGATGTTCGGGAAACATGTAAGGAGGACACCGAAACGGACACGGTCGCCTCCTAAATTACCAAAAGATATCGCATCGTCCGAAATTGTCGATTTGTTATGTAGTCCCTTAA